TCCTTTTTGTCTTCCTCTGTCTTAAAACTGCCTTCTCATCCTCTATACATGTTTCTTCCTTCTCAACAACGCATCGTTGCTCTCATGAGGAGGCTCTTGCTTTGCTGCAATTCAAGACATCCTTCTCCATCAATTACACTGTTCCGTATTATCCAGATTATTGTGGGGAAAATTATTCTAAGATTGAGTCATGGAAGGAAAGTATAGACTGTTGTTCCTGGGATGGGGTTAGCTGTGATAATGTCACAGGCCATTTAATTGCCCTTAATCTCAGCTGCAGTTTCCTTTATGGCACCTTTCCTTCCAACAGCACTCTTTTCTTCCTCAGAAACCTGCAGAGCCTCAATCTTGCCTTGAATGATTTTAGGCTTTCCAAGATTCCATCAGAAATCAGTCAGTTTACTGGACTAAAGCATCTTGATGTCTCTTTTTCTGGATTTTCGGGCCAAGTTCCGAGAGAAATTGCTCACCTCCCCAAGTTAGTTTCTCTCAATCTCTCTAGTTACTTCTATGATGATTCTCCTGAATTGATCCTTGAAACAACTAGTGGAGTGAACATGACATCTGTTAATCCTCGTTTCTTCATGAATCTCTCTTCTTCATTGACTACTCTTGATCTCTGGGGGAGTGCATTAAGAGGAAACTTTCCAAACAGTATTTTCCGCTTTCCGAATCTCAAGAATTTTTATTTAAGTGGAAACCAGAACCTCACTATTGATCTTCCAAGCTCCAATTGGAGCAGTCCTCTCCAACAGTTGTATTTAGGTGATATGGATTGCGGTAGGCGATTGCGAGAGTCTGTAGGAGATCTTAAGTCATTACAGTATCTGTATCTTGGCTGCAACTTGGAAGGTTCCATTCCAGCTTCCATAGCGAACTTATCTCAACTTACTTACCTAAGCCTCTCTTATAACAATCTTAGTGGACAAATCCCACCATCACTTGCAAACCTCACCCAACTTACCTCTCTTGACCTTTCCTTTAATCAGTTTTCTGGTCCCATTCCAGCTTCCATAGGTAACTTAAGGCAACTTACTAGCCTATACCTCTCTTCTAACAATCTCAGCAAACAAATCCCATCATCACTTGCAAACCTCACCCAACTTACCTCTCTTGACCTTTCCAATAATCAGTTTTCTGGTCCCATTCCAGCTTCCATAGGTAACTTAAGGCAACTCACTAGCCTATACCTCTCTTCTAACAATCTCAGCGAACAAATCCCATCATCACTGGCAAACCTCACCCAACTTACCTCTCTTGACCTTTCCAATAATCAGTTTTCTGGTCCCATTCCAGCTTCCATAGGTAACTTAAGGCAACTCACTTGGCTATACCTCTATTCTAACAATCTTAGTGGACAAATCCCATCATCACTTGCAAACCTCACCCAACTTATCTATCTTCACCTTTCCTATAATCAGTTTTCTGGTCCCATTCCAGCTCCCATAGGGAACTTATCTCAACTATCTATCCTAAGCCTCTCTTCTAACAATCTTAGCAGACAAATTCCATCATCACTTGCAAACCTCACACAACTTCTCTATCTCTCTCTTTCTTATAACTTACTTAATGGCACGTTGCCACCTTGGATTTTCACCCTACCTTTGTTAGAGTACTTGAGTCTCAGTCATAACCAACTTCAAGGTCAAATAAATCAATTCCGGAAAAACTCACTCACACACCTAGATTTGTCAAACAATAAATTTCAGGGCTCAATTCCTAACTCAATTGCTAAGTTAGTAAATCTTAGTTATCTCAATTTATCATCAAATCATTTTAGTGATTCAGTAGTACCTGACATGTTCTCGGCACTTCAAAATCTCGAAATTCTTGACCTTTCTCATAACAACTTAATCAGGAAGATTCCAAATTGTCTTCCTAAGTCTCTCTCAGTGTTGAATTTGCAGGCCAATTACTTTGATGGAAATATAGCATTTGGGTTTCCAGAGGGCTGTGGATTACGAAATCTCAACTTACATGGAAATCAAATGGATGGCTTATTACCAAGGTCTTTGGTGAATTGTCGCATGTTAGAGGTTCTAGATGTTGGCAACAACAACATAAGTGATACATTCCCTCATTGGTTGGAATCTCTACCACACCTTCAAGTGCTTGTCTTAAGGTCCAACAAGTTCCACGGTTCTGTGCAGAGCACCAAAGAAAGTCCATCTTTTCCCAAGTTGCGAGTTCTGGACCTCTCCAGCAATTATTTTGTTGGTGCTTTGCCTGTTCGGTACATTGAAAATTTTAATGCGATGATGGACCCTCGTAAAGATGGTGGTTCCCCTGAATACATGATGGTGTCGACGAGAGCCAATTCTTATCAATATTCACTGGTTGTGACATGGAAGGGATTCGACTATGAGTTGCAGGGAATCTTGACCGTATTCAGTAGTATTCATCTCTCAAATAACATGTTTGAGGGAGAAATTCCAGATGTCATTGGAAAGCTTAGTTCTCTCAAAGGGCTTAATCTTTCTCATAACAACCTTACTGGTCATATCCCACCGTCACTAGGGAATTTGAAGAATCTGGAATGGTTGGATCTCTCTTCCAACAAGCTGGCGGGGAAAATTCCTGATGAATTGGTATATTTGACACAACTCTCTGTATTGAATCTTTCAAATAATCATCTTGTCGGGCGCATACCACTGGGCAGTCAGTTCAACACCTTTGGAAATGGTTCTTATGAAGGAAACCTTGGACTGTGTGGATTCCCATTGTCAAAATCTTGTGATGGAATTGGGACACCACCGAGCTCCTTCCAAGAAAAAGATGAGTTGTGGAGATTTGGCTGGAGAGTTGTTGTGTTAGGCTATGGATGTGGAGTTGTTTTTGGACTGCTGATGGGATATCTTGTCTTCCGAACACGAAAACCAAAATGGTTTGTGTCTTTGTTTGATGACCGACCATGTCAAAGTGGAAGGAAGATGAGGAAAGCCAGAAGACTTGTTCAAAGAAGAAGCTAGTTGCAGAGTTGATGATTTGGAGCTTCTGATTTAATGTTTCCTAAATAAGTGCTTTTCGGGTTTAAAGTTCTTGTTATGGTTGGCATTGGCTTGTCTAAAATTGTCAGCCTTCTCTTGTCTTTATTATGCTTTGTAATTTTATCTTTCCTTATTGTAAAATATATTTGAAGGTTTAAGCTGTTAATCTTTCTTAATTGTCCAATTAATCTACTTCCTTTAGCAGACTCATAAAAATTCTTGTTTGGATTTTGATGGAATCATTTCATAAGTAGGGAATCTGGATTTTTGGATGGTTATCGTCTTGGGGATATAACTGTAATTGTCCTGTTGGGCTTCGGTCTCTCTCTCACACTCGCTTTCGGCAACATCACAACAGAAAGAATCCAATGGAAGTAGCCTCCATTTCCACAGATGAAGGGACATTATCAGCATCACAAAATCACCTCAATTTCACCTCTTTAGGGTTCCTCTTCTATTATGAATCCCAACTCCTGCGTTCCATCTGCAGCAAATCCATCAATACCCATCCTATTCTCCCTCAACCTCTGTTTTTACCTCGTCACCTAGCATGCTCAATTCCAACGGGAAGAAGGAATAGAGTTAGGAAAGGGAATACAGTTTTGGGTTTTTTTTTTTTTCTGAATTTTTATTATTTTCCTTCAGCTATAACTATTGTGGGGGCTTGAGGCACCTAAATCCGCTGTTATCAATCGACCCCCCTTCATTTCCGGATCCAAGTGTTTGGGTTTCGTGCAACACAATTGAAATTTGAAATGCTCCATAAAATTTTCATCCAAAAGTAGTCACTTTCCATGTCGTATAGTCTCCAATTGTTTCAATCCGTCCATTTTTGGTGGAATTTACAGTTTGAGATTGTGAATACTTGGCATTGTTGGTACTAGAGCTCTTCTGAGATCGTTAAGTGAAAAAACAATGATCTGGGTGGTGACCAAGGTGAGGTTTTAGGCCTGGATTTGGAGTCTCTGAAGATTTTGCTGAAGTGGGGGGTCTTTCTGGGGGCAATGTTTTGTGGTTTTTTGGTTTTCTGGTGCAAGAGGGTGCTTGCGGTGGAGGAAGTGGTGAATGCAAGGTACGGAGTGATTGAGTAGTGGGCATTGTTGTTGAGGAATGCGTGGTCTAAGGTTTCTACGGCTTGTAAGATTTTCAAAGACCAAGGGGTGATTCTGACCGCACTTTAGGTCTATCTGCATTATTCTCAATGGCAGAGACTTCTATAACTACCCTTGTGGCCATGGAAGGTTTGCTTTCTTTGTTTGATGATTGATGATTCTTGTAATTAGTGAATAATAATTGAAATTTGAATTTTAGTATGGAAATATCGAAAATTTTGGAAAGATAAAATATATGAAGTTGAAGAACATTCACATTTAATGATTGTTAATGTTTCAGTAACTTCTATCCTGGAAAGTTTGTGGTTGTTGTTATGGCATTTGCTGACTTAAATATTGGGTTAAGTTTAGCAAAGATTAATCTGATCTCCTTTTTCAATTCTTGACTGTGAATTTCATGCAGCATTATTAATGTTGTCTTGTTTGGTTTAGATGATGCTGGTTTCTACTGTGTTTATATGGTTCATATTAACTTATAGAAGAACAAATTTTTTTTTTTTTTTTGAATATCACCAAGCCGTCAAGAAACTTTGATCTCATTGGTGATTTGATGCTAAATTGTGTCAGGTTTGTGAGCTGAATTGTTGGTTAGTGTTCTTTCCCTGTTATCCACAAGCTGCTTCATCTTTATAATGTTAAGATACTGCTTCATTTCATTATTTTTTGCACTTTCAAGATTTCTGACCTAGTTCCCTCTATTTGTCTCAGAGCCATTCTATGGTACAATTTGCTTATTCAATAGGGAGAGAAGAGAAAAATTGTCAGAAGATTTCTATTTTAGCATTCTACCAACTGAAATGCAGGATGTAAGCCTTAAAACTAATTTAGCATTAAATTTTTTGGTGCTTTGGTTTTTCATATTGATGACTTAAAAATCCACTCTTTCTAATTTACCTGGACAGACTAATAAAGTATCTTCAGAACCTCGTGAACTTTTCTATTTAGATGCTCCGTCAGCATCTGTGTGTCTACTAATCCAATTAGAGAAGCCTGCAACAGAAGAAGGGAGAGTGACTCCTTCTGTTTATTCATGTGAAGAACCTGTATGTATGAAGAACTTATATGTTTCCATCTTGCTCATCTTCAATCTGACCTCTGATTAAATGTGACAAAATTTCTCTTTTGTTGGCTTGCTTGTTACCTGGCAGCAAGAATTTTACCTGTTGGCTTGGTTGTTACCTGGCAGCAAGATTTTTACCTGTTGGCTTGCTTGTTATCTGGCGGCAAGAATTTTAACTATGCCCCATCATCATCTGTCTTTCAATTGGCTTTTACTGTAGTTCTTACTGTGGAAAATAATGGCTCTGCATCTGCTAGATAAGTTAGCTAATCATTGGCATTGCAATTGATGCTTGATATTTTCGTTTTGGGCCAGGGTGATTAATCATTAGCTGAGATGGTGGAGCATTTGGTCTTTCCCTTACGGCAAGATAATTGTGAAATTAGTAATTCTTCAGTGGATTTTCATCCATACTGATTTTCATCCATATTCATTCATCTATGCTCCTACTGCTACATATTACCATAC